CTGGGAAATGTACTTGAAGATAATGATTAACATGTTTCTTTTTGCTGATCCAAGCTTGAGGATTTGCTTCTACCACTAGAGGGCAGAAGAAACAAAACAAATACTGTAAAAGCAAGTTGTATTGGCTAAATGCAATATCTATTTTAAGGCAAAACCAAGAGCATAACAATATAAAAACTTTCCAGATCTTCAGAAAAGCAGTAGAGGCTTGGGCAGAATCTGGGGGGGGGGGGAAAGATGGGGTGGAGGAGAACGATTTGATGCTGAAGTCACAAGATGAGATGAAAGTTTGGATTTAATACAATGAAATTAGATTCCAGTGAATTGTGATATCCACCAAATTTCTAAAATGGGTAGGATAAAGAAGTAATGAAATGATTCTTCTCTCAATTTAAAATGTAAATTGACCTAAAGTAGGTGTTGCCCCAAAGTGGCCACCTAAGGGCAATCAAAAATTGAGACACCTAGTTAATATCTAGCAAAGAACTCTGTGGTTTAACAGATGTCTTGCTTTTCGTAACTTTCATATTGACCTCAGCTCCCTTATTTCTGCCTACCTAGATCTCACCCAATCTTACCCACCTATATGTGAGACCATTGTCATGAAACTTAGTGAATATCTCAAAGGTGCTTTTTTCTTCAAAAGGCAACTGGACTGTTTTTCTTTGAGGGTTTTTTCCTTCTTCTTCAAAGAAAAAAAAACCCAGTCCAGTTGTCTTTTGAGGAAAAAAACACCTTTGAGATAACTATGACCTAGATGACTGAGAATCTCCACAGAAACTCAGTGGGTAATTTTGAACCAAGCACTGTTTCTCAGCTGATCTCTTTCTGTGTTAGTCTGGTTCTCAGTTCCTGATTTTGTCAAAGAACAGGAATAAGCATGGAGCAGGAAGAAATAAGAAAATGATTTCTAATCAAATTTGTGATATCATATCCTTTAAAAGTCTGGTATTAAGTCTCCCTAATCTAGTAATAGAAACTGTACATATGGGAAAGAGTAAAAAAAGTGCCTTCTAGAATGTAAAATTTACTCAGTCTGCAGGTAATCGAAAATTGCTTGACTGGTTTATTAATAAACAAGAAAATATATGTTTCATAGAATTCCATCCAGTAAAAATAGAGAGCCCCTTTAACTTCATTAGGTATGTATGTATGTATGTATGTATGTACGTACGTACGTACGTACGTACATATGTACTTACTTACTTACTTACTTACTTACTAACTAACTACATTATATGGCCACCCATCTCACAAGCCTCTAGGTGGCACACAAGAGTGATTTAAAATATACACATACAGATGCTACTGGTACAGCTAAAAACCAATCATACATCAGGAAACTGATTATATAAACTACACTGCCCTACACTGGCAGTTTCCTTTTATGTCACAGTGCTCATTAGCCTTGTGGATAGAATTGAGGCCACAGTGGACAACTCTAGAAGTGGCTGTTATTTGAGCATGATACAAGGACTTTGTGAGCATCACCTTATTCAGCAGAATCAAGGTAACATTTCCTGGATAACGTTTACATACTGTGTATCCAGTTCCTTGCATCTCTCAATCTCAGTGAGGCCAAAACAAGTTTCTGCTTTCAGATATTTTTTTTTTACAAAGTACCACCTGACAATTTTACTGCATGTCTGCTTGACATCCTTGCCTACTGTTATGAGGCTAGCAATGCACCAGCAAAATGCACTACAAAAGCCTAAAAATTCCACTTCCTCACTACTCCTTGAAAATTAATATTTCGGTTCCTTCCTCTACATCTGCTAAGAAACTCCAATGAGGTCATTCTGTGCTTTTGGGGCATTTTCTTTCTCACTGGAGAACTTAACTACCTGACACTACTCCACTGTTCTATCTCCCTGATTCATGTTCATTCTGGGGGAATGTCTTCAAATGCAGCTTTGCTATGCTATCAGGATTTTTGGGACTAATGCATCTCATGAGCTTGATAGAACAGGGCAATAATGAATCAAAGGCTTTTTTTTTTTTGCTTCTCCTCTTGTTTCATGGAGCAATGGAAACTGTGGAGCAGAAAAATAATGAAAAGAGAGAGTGAGCACTGATAAACTAGTGTTCTCAGAAATCAGCTACTATATTGATTTGTTCAGTTAAAAGTGCTTCCTGCGAATAAAGCTACACTAAACATGACTGGGATCTGTGGATGGTGAGGACAAAGTGGTTGAATAAAAGTTTGGTTTAAAGGTCACTGGGAAATGATGGTATGCGGTGGATGCTGAGTTCAAAGATGCAGCAGTGAGGATAAATTGGTCCCTGAAGTGCTATAAGGAGTGGCTGAAAGTCAAGATGTGTATTGTTTGATGTTGCCAAGCAGGAGAGGGTGGAGAAATTCCTAAGGAATTTATATTCTCAAATGTAATTGCATACATTTACATTCATACATATGGAAATGTCTTCGGCTAATGCTGGCTCTCTCAGCTAAGAAACAGAGTGGGAAATGACAGGACAGGGAAAATCTATACCTTTTACCTATATTCATACTGGCTATGGATTGTGTAGGCATAAGAAAGCCATTTTTACATAGCAGCTGCATACATGAGTAAAACGCCCCCCCCCCCAAAAAACCCTTCCAATGCTGTAATAAGCAACATACAAAATTAAACAGCCTTAGAGTAAAGCCACATGAAGCAAATGGCAATGAGGAGGGACTGTCAGCTTTGACTCACCTTCCACAACCTGATATCTTCCAGATGTTTTAGACTGTACATCCAATTATCCTCACTGGTCAATCTGGGTAATGGTAATCTTGGTAAAGAAGGTTGTTTATTGTAAGCCAATTAATCTGAGGAACAAGACTCAGGAAGGCTGGGTTTGAATCAAGATATCACTATAATCCATTATAGTGTTAATTAAAAACAGAACACATAGGAAAAGGAAATACAATTGTATCCTGACTTGCATAACTGACGTAAGAAACAACAAGATGGGAGCACATTTATTAATTCAATGGATTTTCCACTGAAATAAATAAAAGGGTGCAGCTGGACAACACAGCTGGACAACCAGAGAATAGCCTACTAGAACAGACGGGGTCTATTAACAAAAGGACTTAATTCTGAATAGCTATACGAAACTATTCTATAGTTTTACTGTACTTTCAAATACTTTCATGTTTGAAAGGTCTTACGTGCTCCTAGCTTTTTAAATAATGCATTTGTTAAGGTTTGTTTTGAGTATTAAATACAAGTGCTTTGGAATCGCGCATAAAATATCACAGCATAATAGGAATCTCCTACCTACTTCCAAAATGGCAAATAAAGCCATGGAGACAGGGCAGTTGGAATTCAAATCATGACAAGAAACAAAACGTAGTATACAGCGCCATAAGGCAGTAGCGACCTAGAAGTGGGAAGGGGATTATTGCATCTTCCTTAATATCTTCAATCTGTTCTAAATCCCTCCGTCTCATAAACAATTACATTTACCATTTTTAGAAGTCACATAATGCTCATGAAGTGTGGATCTTGGTTTACCTGTTTGCAAAATATTTGTTATTTTAGATCATAACTGCGTTAGCCATACGCTCTTGGCTAATCCTACTCCCACTCTCATTTTCACACAGAGGAGAAGCTGATATTAGCAATGCCTGAACCAGGTGATTCCATATATTGCAACAGGGTGAAGGAGAGGTTTCTTCTGTATTCTCCAAGTCATTGGCCTGCCTAGCAACCAGGCACTCAAACAAACAAATCTAGGCAGGGCCTGGATCTCGATCCAAAGCAGCTGGGGTATCTGGCATTTACTTGACTGGAACAGCAGATAGGTTATGTTAATAGCCACAGTACAGTCAGATCTGATTCACTTTGAATTCTTATGGCACAATGGTGGGGCAAGTCATTTACTTGGCCCAGGTTACCATGAGCCACCAGTATGCACACCTCTACAAAGCTGTTTGTAAGAGCCAATGCAGCAAGGAAGTTGCTTCTAAACTGGCACATTTAAAAAAATCTTGGTCTTTAAAAAGAAAACTCACACACAATGATGAACCAATAGATTGCTATCAGTGCTGCTTATGTGAACCATTAGGTGTTCCATACAAAAGGGTCCATTTTTATATAGTCCATTCCACTCATGTTGAATAACAGCAACAACATGCTGTTGGAGGAGGAGGAGGAGGAGAATTCTATGAAGGCTAAAAGAAATTTTGGAATTCTCTCTGCATGATTCTTCATCTGGATAAGCAATGGAGGAAGATGAGTGATATTACACACACACACACATATACACATATATATGTACTCCAATTTAAAGTATAACAAATTATTTCTATAAAGGGTAAGGGCAGTAGTCTGATCAAGAGGTCAGGTATTTTCAACTTGGGTGCAGATTGTTACAAAACCACCCTCCCCAGTGTAATCACTCTAAAATGTTTGGCATCTGTTTGCAAAAGGATTGTACAGTGATCTTCAGACAGGAAGGCAAATATTTAATAGATACAACAAAGAACTGGTGGGATGGGCCCTATGACTGGAGTATAGCTAGTTGCTCAAAAGGAAACAGAAGAAATAGTGAGGAAGACAAGGCAGTGCTATCTTAAATAGCAAATGGAAGCAAATGGGTTACAGTAGAGGAATTAATAGCTGAAAAGCTTCTCTGATGATTAAAAGCAAATTGTTCATTTTGGGTGGAAGGAACAGCCTGGAAAATAAAACAAAAGGGGAGGAGGTTACCCTCAAATTCTGGTCCTGTTTATGTAGATACAGCATCCAAGGGAAACCCAAAAGCAGCAGCCCATACCAAAGAGAGGGGTTTTTTTTTATAATTAACTCAAGGCAGTGAATGTACCTGATATTCCTCCTCCTATTTTCCCCACAACAGCAACAACCCTGTGAGGTGGGTTGCACTGAGAAAGAGTGATTGACCCAAAGTCATCCAGTTGGCTTTCATGCCTAAGGCGGGACTAGAACTCATAGTCTCCTGGTTTCTAGCCTGGTGCCTTAATCACTAAACCAAACTGGCCCTTGCCTCGGCATAAAAGTGCTGTTTCCTCCTCATTCCAAGGATATCATGTCATTTATGCTGTGGGTCAAGGCGGCGATGATGGACTCGAGGCAATGTGCCACGCCGACGCTGGCACAAGGAGGAGGGCATCCCACGCCTCTTCCACAGAGCATGGGTTTTCCAGACCTCAGCAAAACTCTCTACCTAGGAAGAGGCAAAACAGTTACAGAATACTTGAACCGGTGCTGTATAGGAATGGAACCTAATAGGTAACACATTCAGAATACCTTACAGAGACGCCATGGAAAATGGATGCGTCCCTTTCTCTCTTCTCAAAGGCAAAGAGACCATCGCCTTGCCAATTACTAGTTATACTTTTCTTAGTCACAATGCCTTTCCCTACAATGTTGGGATTACTTATTTACAACTGGGATATGCAACAAAGGATTGTAGTTTGAATAGTTCCTGTTCAGTGGGTGGCCAGCCAGACATGTCGGCTCTGATATTAATCCATTGAATCCTTCCCATTGCACACACTCACCACCCCACAAAATGTCGTTAAGCAATCTATTATGGCAACAGAGCCTGTCCCATCCCAGTAGACTGTTTGGCCAGTGTTTCCTTAATGTTTTTTTGCTTCAGATTTGTTTGTACTTGGGCTGTGATTGGTTTTTCTAAGCAAGACTGAACAGATCAGTGGGGGTTCAAATTTTACTGATTTGTTTCATTTAATTCATCGGTGCGATTCTTTTTTAAAACAATCCCCCAAATTTTCAGTTACTATAACATGATTTTTTAATGTCTTTTCTCTCTCTCTTTCTTTTTTTTCTATGCAGTTTTCCTAACAAATGGTTTTCATAAACCATTTTACAAAGGCATCCTTCCCAAATACGATCAGAGTTTTGTACAGCTTTTGAGCACACAGTTAAGTTCTGTGAACTTCTGACACAGATGGCAATGGCTCTATTAATTTCTACCATTCTGCCGTCGCAATCTATTTTGGGGTGTGTGTGTGGTATTTCAATTTTTTTTTAAAAAATATATCCTTTGATGGATATTCTAAAATAGAATTTCCAATCAAGTGGATGAGACCACCAGAGGCCCTATCTTGTGCGAGTTAATTCACCTCCGGGAGCAGGACTACAACGTAAGAACACGCAAGCCAAGGAAATTACAAAACCTGTACAAACTGAATGGCAATGCGCCAGGTCTCAAATGCATGCAGAAACTGCACAGAGGCTGACAGCCACCCTCACCGGAATCATCTGGTCTTTTTTGTTCTCTTCTTCCAGAGAGGTCAGCTCCCTTGGGGACAGCAGAGTCAGACGCAGCTGTGGCACCACAGGTCGTGCCATATCGGGCACAGTCCTATCCAGCACAGCCTGCAGGGAGTGAGTACAGGGCCAGCACAGGTTTGAATGGCTTTAAATAATAAAGACGGATAATAATAAACTATAAATTATAAAATATAGCAAGACAGAACTGTTATTGACTATTATAATTGCCATTTCTCAGTCCAATACTGGAGTTCAAAGCAATTCTATTTGTTGGTCCTACAATTCCTGCTCTAATTACAATATAATATAGAAATCTTGGAACAAAAAACATTTACTGTAGACACCTGAAATAGCAAAAGATCAGAAGGAGCTGCAGTTCACAAATGCTTATATCTTTTAATAAAGTGTGTTTGTCAGAAATGGTGCTGCCAGACTTCTGATTTTCTGCTACCATAGATTAGCATGGTTTCCCTTCTACAATGTACCCAAAATAAGTGAGAGATGCCATTTATTGGCCGAAAGTTATTATATGCCATTATTTTCAATAGAATTAGAAATAGCCAAAGAATCATCTGATCTGTTATCACAGAACCAGTTTTCCTGAAGGATATCAGCATATCCTTCAGCATTGCAGCTTTTGTAGCTTGAGGATGCTAACAAGCCTCTGAAAGGGATGAGAGCAGTGCACTCTTTCATGATTGCGTATCCTGACATTTGAAATTACCCAGGATTAGATTCTGTTTATACAAACACTGCAACAAAAGTCCCATTCAGACGACGGTCCCCAACCTTTCCAGCTCCGCAGACTGGCAGCGGCGGGAGGGGATGGTTTTGTGCATGCACCCGCCACATACAGAAATGGAGTTTCACATGCTCGCCTGCACTTGTGCGGCTTGGTCCCCAATAGGCCGCGGCCCGGTACCAGCCATGGACCGGGAGTTGGGGACCCCTGCATTAAGAGATGGTGCAGTTCCGCAGTTCCGATAGTTTTAAAAGAGGCAATGACAACCATTTTTTTAAACAAAGCTTAACCTGCTATTTTTGTATAAGATTCTAAACCAGTGGTTCTCAACCTTTTTAATGCCGTGACCACAACCGGTCGTAAGTCGAGGACTAAACAGGTCGTAAGTCGAGGACTACCCAACCGGTCGTAAGTCGAGGACTTTCCCTGCCCGGGAGCACCGTGCATGCGTGGTTCCATCCCCTGCGCCGGCTGAGGCGTAGCTGGCAAGCGGCAGAGATGGAGCAGGCCGACCACCAGCTGACCCAGCCCAAGGGAGGTAAGGCACCCGCCGGAAAAGGGGAAAAAATGGCGGACAAAAAAAATGGCGGACGCGGACAAAAAAAATGGCGGACAGCCTTGCTTGGCGACCCCCGTGAAATGGTCGATTGACCCCAAATGGGGTCCCAACCCACAGGTTGAGAACCACTGTTCTAAACTGAGGGATGCCTTCTCAATTGTAGACATTTTTATAGAATAGAACATTTGGATTCATTCTAATCCAGTTTTTCATCTGGATTTGAGATGGAATCTATACTGGAGCATCAATGTACAGAAAGTGCATTTCCTGCATTGAATGCAGTCAGTACTCATGATAACAGATTTTATAGTATCAACCTAATACTGAATTGGGGATATGGGGCCTTTATTGCAAGGGCTATTGTTTTACTTGGAGAGAAGGGCTAAAAAATAATGGTACTGAGATGGTACTAAGAGTCTTCAAGAGTCCTTATTCTCCAGATCTTCTGTAGGCCCTGAGTATCTGTGACAAAACTACTATGAATTATTGTCTCAAGTAAATATCTTTGGTTACTTTCTTATTGGGCTGTGTGAGGGTTCTAAAACCTCTTTTATTATACTTTTTCATGAATTACAAGATTATTAGTTTTTTATTCTCCAGCTTATCATCATCTTGTACTGTTTTTATTTAATGACCATATCTCTGCTGTTATTTCAACAAGTCTATCATTATCATAATATTGTTTTACTATCACTGACTACTGCAAAGTATTTGAGGAGGATTATTTCTAGTTCTATGAAGCTTATTTAAAAAAAACCTTAAATCCTTTTCCCATTTCCTGCCCTCTAAGCTATCAGTACTTACAGACCCAACATGAGCCCATTCTCGTACAGCATGGATCAGCTTCACCTCGTCAATAGCCAAATAGTCACTCTGCAAAATAATTTGCATTGCCTGTTCTGACAGTTCCAAGAACCCACGTGTTTGGATCACCTCCTACAGAAAAAAAAAGATGCTGTATACCTCTGTATACAATATGAGGATGAAGAACTTCAGATAAAGATGAAGTGTCTGTGGAAAAAACAGAGGGTTAAAGCAATCCAGTTCCCCATTATATTACTCAACAACATCATTTCTAGACTCACTGCCACCATTTCCTATTGCACCATTGAACAAAAAACTTTTCTGAGGTAGAGAGATGATCAAATCTTGAATACTGCTGATGGGCAGTATCAATGTATATATATATATGTATTCAGGTCTTTGGTTAATCAGGTTTTCTCCCGTGTAAAATTGGAAGTGTCTTGGCAACGTTTCGACGAAGTCACATTCGTCATCTTCAGGCTGGTGTCTTCAGCTTCGTGCTTCTACTCCTAGAAGCACGAAGCTGAAGACACCAGCCTGAAGATGACGAATGTGACTTCGTCGAAACGTCGCCAAGACACTTCCAATTTTACGCGGGAGAAAACCCGATTAACCAAAGACCTACATACAAACACCCGCGAAAACCTCAGAAAACATATATGTATTCATACATACATTCATACATATATACATATATACCCATGGTCCCAATAGGAAAGAAAATTACACTGATTTAATATAAATATAAATTATCTTTATTCTTCAGTGTCTCGGTTAGAATGGGAAACATTGTATTGGGCCTTTCTGCATGTCATCTCAGTGTCTACCTCTTCTTACCTGAGTATAATTCTCAATAAAGGCCAAGCAATATGTTTGCAAATCTAGGAGTCCATATGCCACTGCTGCCTGTCATAAAGAGAGTAAGAATAAAAAATGAATAAAATGACTACAGCAGGTACAACTGCATTTATAGCCTATATTTTTGAAGGAATTAGTACTGGAAAGAGTAAAATAAATAAAATATTTGTCTCAGTGTCTATTCATGGGTGAATGCCTCCATATTGTAATCATTGGCAACGCCATATAAAAAGACAGAGAATGTTGTAGTCATTTAAAGTCTCTGCATTTCCCTGCTCCACTTCTCTTTTTCATAATATCTAGTTTAGACTTCCTGACTGGTATCTTTCAGATGTGTTCACTCAGAATGGGTGAAAATTGATCTCAATAACTGAGAGTATAATTCAGTGTTACTGGCAGATACATTAGATCAATTGGCCTCTCCCCAATTACATCTAACTGGGCCACCAGAACAGGAAGCCAGGGCATGTTGCAAGTCCCACAACAGGAAGGTACATCTAGACGTAAAAAAAGGCCTTTCTCTGTGGTGGCTCCCTCCCTTTTCCACAAGGCGTTGAAGTTATAGTTTTGTCAGCAGGCTTGGGGGGGGCTCCTTTAGAGCTTATCTGATTGTGTTGTTGGGTACCATGGGGTAAATGGGGAACGGGGGACATAGCTTATTGTTGAACTAATATTGTCTGTAATTTTCAAATCAAACTATTTCTATAGGCAAAATCTGCAAATCGCATCCTAACAAACAGCTGTGGAATCTGTCCTCTGACCATTATCTGAAAAAACAAATTGCATCTATATATGGCACGTGGCTCCCAAATCTCATTACCTGGTATTTAGATTGCACTGACAAAATTGGCAGCAAAATTATGCATTTTTTTAAAATGCCAATTTTGTCCTATTGTCAACTTGTCACTATCTGGATTGGAAGAAGGCAGAAAACGTTCAGGCCCAACCACTGACAATATTACTTTATCATCAGACATGTTTCTGTTGTCCCTGGAGATCAAACATTTTGCTTTTCTTTTTAAGTGCATCACCAGGCTTTTTTTTTTTTTTAAGTCACCGGTGCTTGCTTTAGATTCTTTAGAGTAATGGAAACATCTATTTATTTATTTATTATTTATTATTTATTATTTTAATTTATATACCGCCCTTCTCCCATAGGACTCAGGGCGGTTCACAGCATATTAAAACAAATAATATACCCAAAATACAAAAAATACACAATACAAAAATACAAAAGAATAAACCCTGATAAAAGCCGAATTAAAACCAAATATTTCCAGCTGTGTTACCGATTAAAATACTTTTAAAATTATCCCTACCTAAAATCCTCCCTAGGTCAGGCCCGCTTGCTGGAAAAGCCATGTCTTGAGGGCGCGGCGGAAAGTAAGGAGATCCGGAATCATCCGGATCTCGGGGGGTAGTTCATTCCAGAGGGTGGGGGCACCCACAGAGAAGGCCCTCCCCCTGGGGGTCGC